AGAGAGGGTTTTTTTTTTCTTGGGATAGTGCATGTGATCAGCACAGGGTCCAGACAGAGGTCAGGGGATTTCCATCCTTCTAGAGTGGAAAGAAAACTCCTCCTACAAGCTTTAGCTAGTGGTGGGCTGGACAATGATAGAAGTCACAAGACTGCTCTAAATGCCGATGAGAAAAAAGGTATTTAGCAGTTTATATTTACTAAAATAATTGCATTTCCATGTTCTGTGGGAAACCGAATATAGTGAATGCAGGGTCTGGGGTTTAGTAATACTTTAAATCTTTCACTAGTATGGTATAAGTTGCACTAAAGACAGCTTGATAAAAAACAAACTGTGTTTACATTTCAGGCTGCAAAGCAACAAAATGTGATTATTTTAAGGGGAGGTGGTTCTTTTCTATACCCACTGTATATCTGTCTAAGTGCAACTTTAAAGTGGCTCTAAAGCCTAAAGATTTTTTTTAGTTTAAAGGATAAGTTCACCTTTTGTAACATGTTACACCTATATTCAGGGTGTTAAAATGTTACAAATGCACCGGACCCTCCCACCCTTCCAAGACCCCATTTTGACGGGGGAATTTCTTGCCCTGCTGGCTGTCACAAACGTTACAAGAAAAAAAAAAAAAAAAACATGCAGTAGTGCAGGGCTCCTCCCGCCTGACTGCATCCTTCATTCACAGTGTTCTGTGAATTGGTAAACTACAAGCTGTTGATCACTCTAGGTAGTTCATTGAGCTTCCTGCCAGAAAGTGTAACTGCTTGCCTGTATCGGAGGTACAGGGAGACAGATCTATAGACAGTCTGCAGGGCTGTGGCATTACACCCATAATCTACTGATGGTGGGTGCAATGCTTTACCAGGTCCTTAACACAAAAAAAAAAATAAATGCAATTTTTTTTTTTTTACCTGCAATAAAAAGTGCATTTATTATTTATGAAAGTGAATGGATCTTTCAATGCAGCCACCCCTTATACATACTTGAGCCCAATGTCAATCCAGCAATGAGCACAAGGGCAGCAGCTCTTTCAGTACTCTTTCCTCATTGGACAGAGAGGCAGCAGGGGAAGCCATTGACTCCTTCTGCTATCAATCACAGCCAGTGAGGAGGGAGTGGGGATGGATCCGAGCCATGCTCTGTGTCTCAATGGACACGCAAATGAGGTTTGGGAGTGAGCACGCACGAGTGCCGCCATAGCAAGTGGCTTTCTATGGGGGCACTCTGTAAGGGGAAAGAGTGGACAGTGCCAGTGGGGGAGCCAGAAAAGTGGGATTGGGACTGCTCTGTGCAAAACCACTGCACAGAGCAGGTAATTATAACATGACTATTACAAAAATTAAATAAAATGTGAAGCTTTATAAATCACTTTAAATTCAACTATGGAAGCCTATACAGAAGTATTAAGTCTGTATGCTCTTCCTGTATTGCTGTGGATTCTTAGGTATCAGGTTCAGGTTTCCGCTCAAAATTTGTAAATATACTTATAGGTTAACTGTTTTTACTAAATTGGACATAATGTGTGTCTGTAATATGAGAATATTAGAATTACTTTCATCAGTTCCTGCCCTGGATAAACTTGTGGTCTCTGTACACTATAAAGCAGTAACAGGATTTTTTTGCTTAGAGTTCTGCTTTACCTTAAACAGCTTTGTCTTTTCCTAATGGATATCATCTGCGATTCCATACCGGGAACAGGCGCATATGTTGGACTAGAACAATTTAAAGACAGTGTCTAATTTTCCATTTTTTCTTTTTTTAAATCAGTGAGTTAAGCAATGGCAGGCAGAAAGCTGTACTTTTTGATCTTACATTTAAGAGAAGGATCAGAACCGTGTGCAGCAATTACTGAGCATTAAATGTCAAAAGAAATATGTACACTTTCAACACAAGTCCTCAAAACTGCATTAAATGTTAAAAGCTCAAAAACGCAGCTGTGTATGCTGTTTGACAACTTTTAAAAAGAAACCTTAAATCTTGCAACCAGTTTATTTTTTCTTAGAAGAAGCCCTGCACTGAGTGAAATATGGAAGTTTTCATGGCAGATTTCTTTACCCAAATGCTGGGTGCTTGATTGTCTCTGGTTTTATACTTTGTCAATGACTAGAAACATGCAAGTAGTTAATGAAGTCAGGGCAATATCAATTATTATTTTTTTTTCCGGGTAACTAAAATGAATGAAGTCGATGGGCTCACCTGACAGCCAGGCACCTAGAATTTTCATAAGGTGTTATCTATGGTAGTCTACCTATTTCACTCAGTACAGGTTTCCTTTACTGCACATGTAAAACAGAACTAAAAATTTTATAAAAACGTTAACTTGATTTTTTTCAATATTTTTTAATCTGTAGGTTTGATTGAAAATAATACTGTGTGATCCTGCCATGAAGGTCCTTGTTCAATCACTTCTAAGTACAGGGTGACATCGTTCTGTCCGTCTCTCACTTGTGTTTCTACTTTGTAACCCTATCACATGGGCGTACTATGGAGACTACAAGGGCCTTTATGAAGGTGTGGTGAACTATTGTCACCATCAGGAAACCCACTATGAGAAAAGCAATGCAGTTACTGCTTGTACATGTGGTGGCTGAAAGAGACTGCTTGAGACCAGCAGTAATGAGATGCAATAAAAAAAAAAGCTGAAAAGTTTTTTATTTAATAAAAATATAGGAAACAGATTATAATAAACAAACTAAATGTCATTCATACATCTTTTACAGAAGTATTAAAATACAGAAATACTCCTAAATAGGAACAAATAGACTAGCTCTTTAGTAAATTTGGGAAGGGTTAGAAAAGCAGTTCAGTTTTTATGGCTATTCTGGTGGCAATTGCACCCTCCAATTTTTCTTCTTTGTCATCAGATAATTTTAACCTTCCCCAATCTATCCAAAACAAACAAAAATGAATAGACTGGGAAAGGATGCCCCAAAAAGTGTTTATTGCTGTCTGTGTCCCTGCTTGGGAGATTTACCCCCTATTTTATACCAGTTGTGGTGACAGCTGTCTAAGAAGGGAATTCCATTTAGGTTGTAGAGGTCTCCTCTTATCTCCAGGATAAGCAAAGAAAGAAATCATCCCAGTCAGGCACAGACAGCAAAACATAAACTGACATGGGTTTTTAAACTTACCTCCTCTATCCAAAATTGGTTAAAATGGTAGTGAACTTCAGGGGGTTAAACAAAGCCCTCCAGCGGTGCCACTGACAGGGCTACCATCTTCACCTGGGTTTGCATGCTCTGGCCGTTCAAATGGTCGAACTGTTATGACGTCACTTCTGCACATGTGCATGGTGTAACAATCATGCACACAGGGAGGGGCGCGGTTCTCCATTTTGCTCCAAACGTCTGCATTTTGGTATTTCTCTTAAACTCCTATGCAACCACCTGAGGGGGAAGGTGTCGCAATCGTGCACACCAGAGCCAGACACGATCCTCATTTTGTTAAGAATTCTTCATGTTATCCCCTCATTTCCCCCTCCCTCAGGAATGCGTTCAGTGTACGTTGCTAAGTTCGCTTGTCTGTTGTAAGGAGACACCAATTAATTTTGGGTATTACTAGGCTGTTATGCTTGGTGTGTAGTGAGAGAAGTGAGGATTTTCTGCCTTTTAACATCTGGCAGAGAGAGAGAAGCCAACTCTCGCTGTAACAACGAAACTGAGTGAGAGACCAGAAATCCTTTTTGAGCTCATCAGACTTGAAACTGCTTAACCCCAGGCATCTATTTGGCAAGTACTTATCTACCTAAACTTCTTTCTGTTATCGGTTTGCTGTGCTGTTGGTCTCTGTATATATGTGTATATGTATATATATATATATATATATATATATATATATATATATATATATATATATATATATGTGTGTGTATATATATATATATGTGTATGTGTATATATGTTACATCTTTTTTCTGTAAATATTTCTACTGTACCCTTTTGACCTTTTAGTAACAAATCTTACTTTCTGAAAGTGTTGAACTGTTTCTATAGCTCTTTAATGTAACTTACGAATCCCTGCTGCTGCTGCTGAAAAGCGCTACTATGAGTGTTTAACCCTCTGTATAACCTGTCTGCAGAGATAGCGGTATACCAACGATTAACCAATCATCCTAGTGTATTGCTGAGTTTCCTCTTTCTCTGTACAAAAAGCAGGTGGTGGCAGTGTGAAGGGTTAATTGCGTAAATAACCTTACCCAGTAACAAATGCTCCCCAGCTGCAGATACGTCGATTGTGGTCCAATTAGCTGGAAAATCGGTGTGCAGGGTGCAGCTGGGCATGGCATTGTTACGCACGTGACATCGCGGTGTTAGATTGGCTAGTCCTTCGGTCACGAGTTTGGTGAGAAGTTCAGGGGTCTGACGCCGCGATCGTCGCACATGGGAGTCACAGCCATGACATAGACCTCTAAAGGAATGGCATGGGTATGCCGTCCCTTCAGAAAGCATACGCTGGTAACAGGATATATGAAATCAAGTGCTGGGTACAGAAAATGAAACACACCAATGAATAAATGAAAGGATAAGAGAGTAAAATATAAAAAAATATATATAATAATAAAACACACTAGCTGCTAGCATAAAAAGTCACCTCAGGACATAGTGCCACAGATTTTACTAGCGATGCGCTGGTAACGTTACAAGCTGCAGAAACACTAGATGTCTCCTAAACAGTTGATGTTTAGGAGATATTCCTTGTACCTGCAGGTAAGTGTTATTATAAGTGTCCAAGCGATGTTTACAACTGCTTTAAGCATCAACTAACATATGTTTGTTTGTGCTTACCAAAATATTTAGGCCAATACAAATGCTCTTCAAAATTCAGTAATGAATCAAAGTTGGGTTAGCAACTTTGTACTGTAATAACTAACGGTTTGCTTCTTACTTATTCATTTCAGTTTAACTGTCTTTTTGTGATCTGTCTAAATCACAATATATTTGTATTAAATGTAAAAATAAATAAATAAATAATCAATCAGCTTCTTTCCCATGTCTTTTACATTGTAGTGTTGAACTGGATTTCAAACAGCAAGAAGACAAACTCCAACCAGTGTTGAAAAAACTCCATCCCATTGAGGAAACTCAGGTTGCACCTTTGCCTTACCCTGCCGAGAGTTACACATCAACTCCCAAGCAAAAATCCAAAACAGAATCTAAAAAACACGGAAGATGGAAACTCTGGTTTCTTTAGCAAAGTCTGCTGAATACTGAGCCTTGGGCCATCTTCGGCACATGTGTGAAATCCAACAGTTCACTCAAAAAGGAATCTTGTTAACTTGAGGTTATCAAGAAGCAAAATGGTTGAGCAGTATGCAGATACCTACTGTGCGTACCAAAAAGGCCTTTATACTTGCAACTCAACTCGCAGGAGCAAGGTATAAAATAAAATAAAAATCACAACATGCCAACTTTTACTAGCATTTCAGTTTTTGGGATACAAAATCTGGATTTAAAATCTGAATTACCAAATGCGAAGAAAAAAGAAAAAATATTATGGTTGGAAGTTTGAATTGCTTCCCTTTTTTCCTATTGGTTCACCATAAGCAACAGATATAATTTGCTTCTGGATTCTAAAGCCTTTACATTTCAAAATGAATAGAAGAAGAAAGATTATAGCCTTACAGTAGAAGGGGTCTTTCATTTTTAAATTTTCTTGTGAAATCCAAGCAGGGGATACGTGCAATTCTCAGCACATCAAAATCTGGAGAAAGCACAAATTTTCAAGTGGTCGGAGACCAGTGAAAATCTCAAAGGTGTGACTAAGTGTGTGTATTTGCCTTCCCGCGCTACCGAAAAATTAATTTTAGTCATTCTCATGCTAATTTTAATGTTCTAGAGAAGAGACATTGAATTTGAGCAAGTGCAAAAAGCCAGTCATATCCCAAAGTCAGAACATGCCTTTAATCTCATTGTTCGTTGACAGGGTCAAGGCTATGGGACACTGTTTTCTTAGACCTAATTTCTAATGTTTTCCTACCCTAAAAAGCCCAAACTATTAAAAATATATATTTAAATTCTAATGAAGGTTTCCTAACTGGAGTTGGAATATTGTTGGTCTGAAATTGTTTTTTATTCTAAAGTTTCAAATGCCATACCATCAAACAGGAAGCCAAGATTTATTCATTTATTTGATCTTAATTTGACATTGTTTGTTACAAAGGGTTATCCAAAATTTTTTTTTTCAATAAAAGGTTATGATTTAGATAAAAATGTAATTTAAATTATTCTATGTCAGTTAGTTCAAAACAAAAGTTATGTATATTTATATTTTTAAATAATTTGAAATTAAAGCAATTTGAATTAACCATGATATTTAAATGACACAGTGTTAAAATCATTAGTTATTTCTCTTCTTAGTAAAAAAAATAAAATACAATCTTAAGAGTTGATTGTAAAAATTATTTTGAATAATATGTATAAGATAAGGAATAATGCAACTGTTATAAGCCCCTCAATACACTAGATCCTGAACTTTATTTAAACGTCTTAAGGAAGAATGCTAGAAGGAAGTCTATATAACCTTTTAAGCAATTTCAAATAATTGCAATATGCCTTATGGCTAAGTTTATTTAGAGCTTTAGACATTTTTTTTCTGCAGCATTTCTGAAAATATCTGCCTCCCAGAGAGCTTCTTAAAGCTTATGAAATATATATATTTTTTTGCTTATATTGATAAATAAGTGTAGCTGTATACAGGTTTGCAGTGCTTAAACCATTAAGACATCTAGCATCACAATTTCACTTAAGAATACAGATAAATAATTTAAGTCAAGACCACAACTTTGAAAAGGCAAGGGAAAAAAAAACAATAGAATATAGAGATTTGGTTGCTACATTTGGAAATGCACCAACTATTAAACAAATAATTTGTAATATCTTCTAATGCCTACAAAGGAAATACTGAAGATAGATCATGTGGCAAGCACTGTTTTATATTTTCAAGAGTTTAATCTGTGTGTGGAAGATAACTTCAACTTTTCAACCTGGAATATAAATACTATGTGCTAGGTTGTTGTACCCAAACACAGTTTTAGAATGTGAATCGTAAAATATTTTTAAAAAATGATGTATGAAATGGTGAAGATGCTAAAAGGTATAGAAGTAGAAAATTTTAATAATAAAAAAGGTAAAATTCAACTCGGCAGGTTTCAAGGTAAAATGCTATCATATAGAAGGTGCTTTTTTTCTATCACTATGTGATAATTTGAAGCTAGTGTAAGGATTGTGCATTTTTCATTAATGTTGTACAAAACTGTAATTATGCCCAGGTACAAATATGCTTTATTGAATATGTCAGACTTGCTTAATAGGGCTACTAAAATTGTACATAAAAAATATTAAATTATTTTTGTGTATAAAACTAGTATGTGTACAAGGAATAGTGGTTATGTGCCAAGAAGGAAGTGCAATTGTTTCACTTGATGGGTGGGGTTGAAAAATGCTACTGTATTTTTTAATGTTTTTTAATTAAAGATACATATGTTTATATTGCACAATTAAAACAATGTTTTAAAGTCCCCAAATAAAGTATTGCCCATAAATTATGAATACACTAGTAGAATAGTATATAAAAATTAAACACTGGTTTTGGTTTGATATTACAGGTTGCATTTTTTCCCACAAACAACCACATCTCTCAGAAAAAAAAATAAACAATTACTATCAATCATCAATCAGATGTACTGTTAAAGATGATTATTTTAAAATGCCATAGATGATTTGTATGTATATCTTAAGAGACATTTTCTGCACCTTCATATTTAAAACAAAAAAAAGGTAAGTAAGCTGCATTTATTTTCTACAGAAATTTGTACTAAGTAATAAAAATATTAAACATCTTGGAGTCTAAAGTGTATGAAACTTTCTCAACTGGCACAACAGAGAATGCTTTAGGAAACTGTAAAAAACACCATCAAAACAAATATATATTTCAAAGAATAATAAAAACATGTTTAGATAGATTACAACACAAAGTATACAGAATGCCAGAGAAAACCTTGAGGCAAGATATTTCTAGCCTTATAAATGTTTCACAAGTAGCAGAATTTAAAAGTAGGCATGAAATCAAAACAATCTACTATTCTGTAATAGCTATTCTTTGAAACAAATAGAACAATGTATCTGAAAAATCTAAAGTATCTCATTTTTTACAGGAAAACTATTGTTTCTACAAACCCTTGTAAACAATACATGCATAGACTCATAGGTGCGATGACAAACTTCACTCTCTTTTGTTAGAGAAGACACCACCTTACCCATGCAGTGGCGAGGTGATAGTGTCACTGCAAAAAGCCTCTCTCCCAACCCCCTTAAAATTCACCTTTCCTGATACCCACCCCCTCACCACTCTTTCCTCTGGTGCAGCTAGAGACACTACCTGGTGATTCCAGGTCTTGCTCTCCTGTGGGTGCAAATCACCGATAGACCCAAACACTGTCACACTGTAATGACATGTCACTGTCACCTCTGATTTAAATGTCGGCTACTATGGAGAATGGAGCAGTGAGGAAGTCCAGATAAGGTAAATGGAGAAATGAAAATTTTGATGCAAGACTTTTTGCAACAGAAAAAAAAAATATGTATATATATATTTTTTTTTTCGGGTAAAATGAGTCACTCCAAAAAAAAAAAAAAAAAAAAAGAATATAGATAGAAGAGCTGTGTCTGTCTATGGAGTCATTTATCCCTTCTATTTAAAAAACAAATTATCAGAATTGTCCCACTGTTTTAAACTCACGTACATTATTATCTATTTCTGTTCAGCTTAGTGGCAATTAATAAATGACAAAATATATAGCGGGTAAAATAAGTATTGAACACGTCACCATTTTTCTAGATAAATATGCATCTAAGGGTGCTATTGACATGAAATTTTCATGTCTTTAAAAACCCATGCACTCCATACATACAAAAACCAAAACAAATAAGTTCAGAAATTAAGTTATGTGTAATAAAATGGAATGACACAGGGAAAAAGTATTGAACACGCTAACTGAAATGTATTTAATACTTCACACAAAATCCTTTGTCGGTAATGACAGCTTCAAGACACCCCCTGTATGGAGAAACTAGTCACATGCATTGTTCAGGTGTGGTTTTGGCCCATTCTTCCACACAAATATTGAAGGTTCTGTGGGACTCTTCTATGAACTCTGATCTTTAGTTCGTTCCATAGATTGTCTATTAGATTCAAGTCAGGTGATTGGCTGGGCCATTCTAGCAGCTTTATTTTCTTTGAAACCAATTGAGAGTTTTCTTGGCTTTGTGTTTGGGATCATTGTTCATCAAATGTTCACCCTCGTTCCATCTTCATCATCCTGGTAGATGGCAACAGATTTTTTTTTTTCCCAAGAATGTCTCAGTACATTTTTTTCCATTAATCCTTCCTTTAATGACATGAAGTTTGCCATTACCATATGCTGAAAAACAGCTCCACAGCATGATGTCCCCACCTCCAATCTTCACTGTTGGTATGGTGTTTTTGGGGTGATGTGCAGTGCCATTTGACCTCCTCCAAACATAATGTGTATTATGGCATCCAAAGAGTTTTTGGAATTTTGGACTCATCTGACCAGGCTATATTCTCCCACTATTTCACAGACCTGTCTAAATGTTGCGCAGAAAACGTTAAACAAGCTTCAACATGCTTTTTCTTCAGCAGTGGAGTCTTGTGTGGTGAGCATGTATACAGGCCATGGTGGGTGAGTGCAGTACTTATTGTTTTCTCTGAACAACTGTACCCCCAGGTAATTCCAGGTCTTTCTGAAACTCTGCACAAGTGGTCCTTGGCTCTTGGGTAACTCTTCTGATCATTATTTTCACTCCTCTGTCAGAAATCTTGGAGGAGCACCTGGCTGTGGCTAGTTTATGGTGAAATTATGTTCTTTCCATTTCCAGATTATGGCCCCAAAAGTGCTCACTGGAACATTCAGAAGTTTAGAAATCCTTCTGTAACCAATGCCATCAGTATGTTTTGCAACAAGGGTGTGAAGGTCTTTAGAGAGCTCTTTGCTTTTACCCATCATTAAATATTTCTTGTGTGACACCTTGGTAATGAAACACCTTTTATGGTCCATTAGTTGAGACTGATACAGTTGATATTAATTTACAATGTCAAGGGTCAGGACTGCTTTCTAATTACTGATAGATTTCAGCTGGTGTCTATGCTTTTTTACGCCTCCCTTTCTTCATGTGTTCAATATTTTTTCCCTGTGTCATTCCATTTTATTAAACATAACTTAATTTCTGAACTTATGTGTTTTGATTTCTTTGTATGTATGGATTGCATGGGTTGTTAACGACACAAGTTAAAAATTTCATGTCAATAGCACCTTTAGATATACATTTACCTAGAAAAATGGTGACGTGTTCAATATTTATTTTACCCGCTATATATTTTGTCTTATTAATTGCCACTAAGCTGAACAAAAATAGATAAAAATTTAAGTGACTTTTAAGACAGTGGCACATTTCTCAATTTCTATTTTAATCTATATTCTTATTTTTTGGAGTGACATAACAGTTTGCTAATCAATAACGACCAAATTGTTACACATTTACTTGACAAATATTTCAATATTGATACCCTTTATAGCAAACCAGTAGGTTGCCTGGGACTAGGCAAAATAAAAGGTACACTTGATACCAGGAACCACAGGGAACTAGCATTGCCCATGCTTCCCTGATGTCTCATCTGGCCAATGTGTGGTACTTCCAAAACATGTGGCACTCACAGTACAGTGAAAGCACTTGAGCAGCCAATAACTAGAAAAATGGGAGTGCATAACCCCAAGCAAGTTTTCTCCTGTGAATTTTCAGGCAGTGGTGGATCAAGGCAAGTGGTGAGGGAATGTGGAGAAGAAAACTATAGACTCCTACTATTATAGGAAACTGTTACTTTGCCTAGTTGAAGATAAGTACACCCTGGTTCAAACCAAAATGCGATTTCAAAGTGGTGTGATTTGGTCCCATTTAAACCGCGACCTCAAAGTAGCACTAATGTAGACACAGGTGCGATTTCAGTGCCATTTACCTTATAGTCTATGAGAGTTAAATCACACCAAAGTGGTGAAAAAGTAATTCAGGAACCATTTTTCAAATCATGGTACTTGAAATCACACCTATTAAAACAGTATCGTAAAAATACTTTAGATGCGATGTCACAAAAGGTGTGAATCATGGTTCAAGATTTAGAAATATTATACTAAGTATTATCTATTTTAAAGGATACATTCCACACAGCTCCTATAGTGGATCATTTAGCACATGCCAAGTCTTGGTAAAACAACTGTAAACAACTGGATTTTTGCAACTCAGGTTTGAGGATATTTTTTTTTCTTTTACATGTGTTGTGTCAAAATAGTAGGACGACTGGTAAGAGCATACTATTGATTTACCACATGTCATACACTTCAGTACACAACAATGAACTCATTACCCAATTATGTAGACAAATGTCCTAATTAATATTCTGCAAGTCGCTACTAAATATCAAGACTATTATAGTGAGCTATAAGCACAGAGGGAGTCTCCAACAATACAACACCCGGAGGTGAGAAAACATTTCTGTGTTGACAAACATACAAGTTGATTCCATATAAACTTTATTTTTATTCTGTTATTTTTTTGTTAAACCACAGCTTATGAAAGGGAAGATAAAATCTGGAATGGCTGTGGATTGCTAGACTTAAAACTTGCATTCCTCCACTGTTCTTAAATAAGTGGTAAGGTCTTAAATCCCTGCTAAAGCTTTGTAAATTACTGTAAGGCAGCCAGGCTAAATAAAAACTGTACAAATCAAGGGAATCTTTTTTTTTTTCAGTTTTTAACAGTCTGTTTTTGCTGCAATAATAATTAAAATACCCTGCGCTCACAGCACACAATAGAGTCAGACTGGTGCTCAACAAACAGCATAGTGGTCCAGGGCTCTAGTGGTGTGACACATCCCCTGCCTAGTGCTCCAAGCAATACAAGCATGTGCTCTGTTGACTGAAACACTGGTTTGGGGTTTCAGACTGTTAGAGACCCAGACCACTGTGCTCTGTGTAGAGCAGTGGTCTGATCTTTAGCAATGCTGCTAAAAAGCACTGTTAACCACTTGCCCTCCAGAGGATTTACCCCCCTTAATGACAAGGCCATTTTTTTGCGATATGGCGCTGCGTTACTTTGACAATTGCACGCTCTTGCAACGCTGCACTCATATTAAATTGATGTCCTTTTTTTCCCCCCGCAAATAGTGCTTTCTTTTATTGGTATTTGATCGCCTCTGCATTTATTTTTTGTGCTATAACAAAAAAAAAAGACCTCCAATTTTGAGAAAAAAAAAACTATATTTTTAACTTTTTGCTATTAAACATGTCTAGTAAAAAAAATAAAAAAATATATAATTTCTTCATAAATTTAGGCCAAAATGTATTCTGCTACATGTCTTTGCTTAAAAAAAAAAAACACCCAATACGTGTAAATTAATTGGTTTACGAGAAATTTATAGAGTCTACAAATGGCGGTATATATACACTGGAATTTTTTTTTTATACTAGTAATGGCAGCAAATCAGTTTATAGCAGGACTGCAAAAGGAATTCTGACACGGGGGAAAACGGTCACTGACATCCCCAGTGACACGAATACAGTGATCAGTGCTAATAAAAAGCACTGACACTGTACTGACACTGGGCAGGGAGAGGTTAACATCTGGGGCAATCAAAGGGTTAACCATGTGCTGTTTCACAGTGTGCTGTGTGCATGCTTTAGACTGTAAGCACACTGCTTTGGATGGCTCTGCTATGCAGCACCATACAAAGTAGTGTGCAGGAACTGACAGGGGAGAGATTTGTATTGTTTATATACAGGTCTCTTCCCCCATCCGTGATACTCAATGACTGCCGGGTGTCAGCGGGGAATCACTGGCCGGGACCCGGTGATTGGCAACCGAGGCCGCCAATGGCGGAGTGGGTAGAGCACGCGCACCCTACCAGGATATGCAAAATCACGTATATATATATATATATATATATATATATATACACATGATTTTGTGCACCCCTGCCACTCTGTAGCAGTATTTCTGCTATAGGGCGGCGGGAAAGCACTTAAAAACTAAAAAAAAAAAAAAAAAAAAAAAAGAATCCCTGGGTCTTTACAGTTTATGCAGCCTGAGGGTATTACAGTAATAATTGATAAACTGAGTTTTAAAAGGTTACGAGTGCTAGAAAGTATCTAGCAACTACTGAGTATTCAAACACCTTTAAAAGAACCGCCTCTCCCTGTTGATTTATGCGGTACAAACCGCCTGCCAATCACCAAATATTGTACCAATGAAGTTGAATGGAAACTTGTAGGACATTGTGGATTAGGTGTGTATCAGCTAATCCTTAAATACTTTTATAATTAGGAAAAGTCACTTACAATGAGCTCTGAATCTCTTCCCATAGATATTACAGTACGGTTTACTGTTCTCAGAAGTTTTTCCATGATAATCTGAACATGACGTTGTGTTGGACCCTATAAGAAAAAAAAAAAAAACAAAGACAAACCAAAAAAAAAAAAAAAAAAAAAACAGAACAAACAAACATGTTAATACATATCGCAAGCCAAAATAAAAAACATATATACAGTATATATTGTACATCTCCGCATAAAATGCATGTGCACAAGTTTTTTTTCCCCTTTATTGCAAGTACAGAAAAATAACTGTTGATGTGCTATAAATATAGTATACTCCCACTTTGCATGACAATGCAGCTGTCCTAAATTCCCAAGCACCTGTGGTCAGCCCTGCCTACATTTCTGATAGCTTATAAAGAACACGGGGTTTTATTTAATAAAGCTGGAGTGTGCAAAAATGAGGCTCACCTCTGCATAGAAACTAATCAGTTTCCATGTTTTATTGCCAAAACTTAAAGCAGAATTCTAGGCAAAAACTTCTCTACTCCTGTCCTTGTTGCTGATTTCCTACCGTCACTGAAAATGTCATCCGTCTTCTAATTCAATCAGTAGTTGCTCTAAACTAGCCTATCCATTTTCAAATCAAACAGCTAATTCTCTTTGGTTTCCTGTTTGTAAGACCAGTGGCTGCTATGTCTCCTATTCCCTCAGCCACTGGTCTTAGCACATCCCTTCTGTAGTTCTTTGTCCAGGAAACAGTGATGTAATTCAGCCCTTCTTGCTGTGGATGGTGGACCGAGACTCCCAGACACATTCAACATGTACAAGCCTAGTGTACCCACCCACATTCACTTCATTTCCCTGTGGTTGATGGGAACTGTAGTTTCCTTTTACTGCAGAGAGAGGACAGCATATGATGTAATCCCTGCTGTTACTCCTCTTCCTTGGCAGAGCAGATACTGTTATCTATTGAATTACAGAGATGAGGTCATGAAAACTCAACAACACTTTTCTCCTAAATGGTGAGGATTTTCAAAACTGTATTAAACAGTTTAGTGTTTTGTGTAGGGGGTGTACTAAAGGGTGATTTACTGCCTATCCCAGAGTTCTTTATTAATTGAACAAGAGGAGTTTAGAAGCAAATTGGTTCTATGTAGAAGTGAGCCTAATTTTGCACTCTCCAGCTTTAGTAAATAAACTCTACAGATCTTTCTTCATCTTCTTCTCTCCTCATCTCCATAACTCGCTGTTCAGCTTGTAAAGTTAAGCTTTGACAATAAAACCTGGAAGCTGATCGGTTTCTATGCAGAGCTGCACCAGATTTTTCACTCTCCAATTTAATAAACAACCCGCTATATCAAGCAGACCAAAGAATGCAAAAAAGAGAAGTTACTTATTAGGGTTTTTTAGAGTTTTTATCAGGGTTAGTTATACACAAATCAAAATGAATTAATAATTCTCTGACAGTTACTATGTATAGAATTTTCTAGCTGGAATTTCTTTAACTCAAGCTGAAAATATTTTGCCATTGTAAATTCAAATGTAAAAATAATGTAAATAATTGCATATGTGGAACACATTATGCTATTCCATTTATTATACCCATTATTTTAACATATAAATAAGTTCATGTATTCAGACGCATATATAATAGATTATAAATTTTGATAAAATCATTTTCAACTGTATGACATATGCACAGATAGAAATGCAAAGCTCACTCATGTGGCTTAAAGCTGAGACAGCCTTAATGACAAGATTTCATTCTACCTGAAGCATTTTTAGGGCTACAAGTTATTAGAGACTGTATATAATCTATTGTTTTCAATTAGACAGACTCTGCCTGGGGGATGAACAGCAAGATAAAAGGATCTACAAGATGCAGCACTGTGCAGTAACTCTAAAAAGGAAACAGAGTCCACATACATGAATCAAAAATAATATGGTTGCCCCAAAAGTGTCAGGAAATTCCCCTTATACAGATGGCAAATTAACATTGTAAGAGTTACACTGACATCTTGTCCTGTTGATATCTAAAATTTTGTATTTATGCTCACTTTCTGTTTTGGTGACAATAAACACCTGGCCAAACTAACAAGGATGATTTTCCCCAGTAGGGATACAAACAACAAAGAAAACTTGACAGAGGGTATCACCCTTCCCCACCTAACAACTAAAATCTGACACAGGAGAACAGCTGGGTCAACACCACGCTGAGTAACAGTCTGCAATAGGGAGTATAGACATCCAATAGGCTGACGCGTTTTGAGGACTTGCCTCTTCCTCAGAGGCAGAGGTGTTGACCCAGCTGTTCTTTATGATTTGCCTTGACTATATTGTCATTTGTGAGTACAACACCTACTTTATTTTTCATTAAACATTTTTTATGGTAATGCACTAGGCCTGTGCGCCCTCTGTTTTTTCTTTCCTCATTCAGTATATTTGGATTCCCCCGGTCTATTTGTGGGCAGCAAGGTGTGCATGTTCCAGGACATTCTTAATGTGGCTGTAGCCTGCATCGAGTCCATCCCCAAGCGCAGGAGCATTTGTGTTTGCTGGTTCTTTAAAATCTGACACAGTTGTGAGGTTCTCAGCTTCCTACTCCCCCACTGCGTATTATATTTTTATTTTCTGCCTTCTATCATGTCACTACTGTGTACTATGTTGACATAATATAGGGCAGGAGGAACCAGAATGCTGTGGAAGGAGCAGAATAAATTGAAACTCATTTTGGTAAGGCACTGACAAAAAACTAAGAAGAAGCAGGATAAAAAATATTTGATCGAACACATTTCTAACAGTAAATGTGGTTTTAATTCAGAAAAGTCCATTCACTCCAAAATCAAATGTTAAAAGTGAAAACATTTATGGAAGTGCTATCAAATATACTGATATCAATATTTGCATGAACATTCATTTCAAAATCTATTAGTCTATGGCCAGCTTAAAGTAAATGTGAACCCTCACCTTGTAGAACAGCCTGCCCACATAAAAACATAGGAAATGCCACTGCTGATTTGTTTTAGAAACACAGGTTCTGGGGGTTATAATTTTTCACTGTAGTAGGTAATTATTCAGTGCTCGGGAAAAATACAGATTCTATCACGAGTCCTGCTAGATCACTTCAGGCTGGTATAGCTATGTAAAACATTAAAAATAAGTACCTATACTGTTTAAAATCCAGTAATACACTGCCTCACTCTGCTCTGCACATGCTCAGTTGCTTTCCATTTCAGGCGTTTTCTGCCGAATTTGTAGAGGCTGATCTGTAGACAGTCTTAAAGTGGAATTAAAGTCTCCTATCCTTAAGGACTCATTCACACCTATACGTGCATGAAAACGGATGGAAAATGATGCGAAGCTTTCACTTGCAGAGACATCAGTTTACATGTGCGTTTCAATGAGTTTTATATAAATTGCCAATTCCTGCGCAGAAAAAAAATCTGCACATGATACTAGTGTTGTGGTGGGAACGGGGCACATAAAGATCAATAGATTTGGTTATGCCCTTGCAGAACACGTGCAGAAAAACTGATGTCTCTGCACCATGGTGTGAACTAACCCTTACAGCCAAGGAAGCGGTTTCTGTTTGATCTGCAACTGCCATGGTGCTGCACATGCGATCAGTTTTGACACCAGCCATTTGATGGATTGCCAGTTTGGTTAGGGACACAAGCAAATGTGACAGTTAGCAATCCTGGCATTCTAGGAATGTAATTATTTTTGAAACTATTAAATCGATGGGTCTAGTTCCACTTTATGATTTACTGGGGCTCTGGGCTTCAACAGAATGGCAGCCTCCAATAAGAAGTAATAGGAGCAATGCTGGAGGCAAATTTCAATGCACACTCATTTTGGTAGCATAATTATTAATGTGGAATGTGTGTTCCTTGCTAAAGAACATTATTTTTTATCAAGTTGTTATGGGTAAAGTTCCACTTTAATTGCCGATTGTTTTCAGATTCCCGTTGTGATATGGACACGGATACTTTTTCACTACTTAGTAACTTATTGACCAAGAACAAATGTGCATCCACTGGCATATTGGGTCACCTTATACGTATGCAATTCTCCAAGCTTGTAACTCATTACAAGGACAAGAATACCAGCACTAAGCTTGCACCTTCAGAAACAAGAATACCAGCACTAAAGCTTGCACCTTCAGAAACAAGCTAGTAATGGAAGTTACCATAATTAAGACAACAGTTCTCTATGAATGTTACAAACAGCAAGAATGTAATGCAGAAGAGTATATTTACTAACCACATCTTTTCTGTAAAGCACTTCCAAAATGTTGCTCAGCAGCTGACAACAGGCCTCGGGCTCCTCCTGTCTTTCCAAGTGATGCTTCAGCTGATCGGTCATCATGGGAAGGAGGATGTCTCTGCATTCTGAACACAATAGGGTTGTTACTCTCTGTGAGAGTGGATGATCAACAACCTAGTATAATTAAGAGGGGTTGATTTACGAAAATGGGAGTGTGCAAAATCTGGAGCAGCTCTGCATACAAACCAATCAGCTTCCAATTTTTTTTGTCAAAGTTTACTTGAACAAGCTGAAGTTAGAAGCTGATTAGTTACCATGCACAGCTGCAGCACATTTTGCACTCTTCAGTTTTAGTAAATGAAGCCCAAAGCATATCTATACCCAAAGCAAAAATATGTATTTCCACCCAGTGATGTGGCCAGGAACACACCTCCTGTTTTAGGGTGTCTCCACTCTGGATGGAGGAGCAACTGAGACACGTTTGGAGAGCAGCATTGTTGATGTGGAAAGAGTGCAGTGTTAAACTGGGTATCCACGCATGCAGTTTCCCCTATCCACGCAAGTGAGAGGGACGGAGGATTGCTACCTGCTACGACAATGTAATCTGCCAGTGGAAACTCTCCTCAGAATACATTGATTGGCTGCAGCCACTGATCCATGAAAGCTTTCCAGTGTGACCACTCAACAGAAGATAATTTACTTTAGACGCACCAGCAGATTTAGATGGATTTGACAAAAAAATGAAAGTCGAACTCTAGCTAAAACGTTTTATGCAGTTACAGCAAATGTTTGGGTTTCTTTTGGGATATTTTACATAACTGAATAAAGGCCAATTATTGTTAGCAGCCCTGTCAGTTAATGGTATATATCAACCCTCTACTTTTCACTTTTGCTAGACAGCTTGGTCTTTTAAAGGAAGATGAAATATTACAGGCTTACTAGCCTGATCATAAGGTGGTAAAAAAAGGCAAAAAAAAAAAAAAAACGAAAGCCACCACATTTATGGATTGGTAAGTGGCAGTATGTAAAATATTTACATTTGGGTTTAGGTACGCATTAAAGTGAACCAGTCAGATCCAATCTAATACTGATCATGTACCTGTGACACTCTTCAAAGCAATTACTATATGTAGCCCTTGGATTCTAGGCCCAGACAGTATGTCAGGCTATAACAAATCGGCACCAATAAAAATGCTTACAGGGACAACGTGTTTGCCTATAAGATGATCACAAGTATTTCTAAGTCTCATAAGCACAAACGGAGAAGATTTTACAGATGCTTTAACATGTAACTTCATCTTTTGCCATATTTCTGACATATTTAGAACAGTAAAGTGGAACAGATAACTAACTTTGTAAAGGGAAAACTCCAAGCAATATAAAATATGTAGTCATAAGTACACCAAGAGAAGCCAACCGATGACCTAATTTTGCCTTTGTTTTTAGACAAACCTTTTATTTAAAAAAATAAAATAGAATCTGAAAAGTATAAAACGTAATAGAAAAAGGATATAGAAAATTACAGCTAACAGTAATAGCTGAGGAAGATGGGAGGAGCTGGGAACCATGTGAAAGGACTCCAAAGTGTCTCGAAAAGAAGATAACTGGTGCTTGAACATGTTGGCATCTATTCATTCATACAACCGAAAAGTTTTTGGTGGACGAAATCTTTGAAAAATTTGGGGATGTACAGTTTTTTTTTTTTGTTTTTTTTTTTTTGTTAGATTAGCTTTGATGAAATCAAATGAAAATGTAGTTCGCTACAGGTTTATGCCACACATACCTGTCTAAAGTCAAGTCTCAAAGACAAAAAAAAAAAAGGAAACAAATACATGTTTCAAATAAGTTGTGGTCTAGCTACATGCTATTTAATAAATAAATACAATTACTAGCTGTTAGTTAAGAAGCCAACACCAGCTGGCATCCTTAACAACTAGTCAATAGCTGGCTGTTAAGAAGCTGGCACCCACCGCGTCCTTAAACCCACAACAGTAAAATAAGTCTGTATATGCAGTAAAGCATGCTTGTTATACTCACTGCATTGTGTAAAAATGCAGTTTGCTCCTGACTTCTCTGGTTCTCCCCTTCTTCCAGTGCCACCATCTTACTTCCTGATAAGACATATTGTGTGGAGTCACTCTGCACATGCTCAGTTTGGTGTGTATTGCTAGAGATTTTTTTTTTTTTTTTGGGGGGGGAGTGCATGTGATAAGCACAGGGCACAGGGCCAATCAGCCCTGTCCAGACAGAGGTCCGGGGGTCCTGCATCTTCCTACACTAAAATAATTGTATTTCCATGTTCTGTGTACTGTGGGAGACCAGATATAATGAATGCAGGGCCCTGGGTTTTTTAACACTTTATCAACAGTGGCAGGGCTGTGGAGAAGAGGCCCTTGTCCTCATCAACATGTCAACACGGGGACAAGGTGTGTTGCCCAAAAGGCCAGGTATGGAATGCTGGGGACCACATGCCATTTTTGTAATTTCACATTTAGAGTCTCACTTTTGGACTCCCCACTGACAGAAGGGGTTGTGTCATTGCTGATAGGGAAGCTGGAAGCAAGCTGGAAGGTACTGACTCCCTAACAACCAGCAGCCCTCAGCTGAACTGTCACATTTAGCAGTTGAAGGAATACCACTGCTAAATGTTTCACTTCCTGCTGCAGCCAGAGGTCCAATCTGCATTAAAATAAGGTGCAAAAACACATGTTAAATACCCCAAAATAACAATTTAACTCCTGTGGAAATTGTTTTTTTGGTCATCAGTCTCCCTATTGGAAGCAGAGTTCATATAAAATATGGAGACTGTGATAGGAGAAGAGGATACAAGTTCAGGTGGGAAGGAAATACCCAACATAAATAGCCAGTAAGCAAGGCAAAGTTTTGAGCCCTCAAGTGTTGTTTTTGTTACAGGAGTCTTTTAGATATGGATGTCATGAAGGCTTAGTACAGAATGGTGAAAATCTCCTAAATAATGACAGGCAAAAGAACTGTTGAACATGCTTTAGAGAGGAACAGTGAAAAAGCATCTAGTCTGCCCTGCCATGGCCTATATAGTTATCATGCGAGTTGCAAATACTATAGCTGAACCCCTGTAAGAAACTAAAGTGCTAATAAAAGCACAAAACAGATCCTGAGATGATGACCAAATCAAGGCAAAATAAGTTGGCCTTCCCAAAAGCAGATCAATTGATCCGTATTTTAAACACAGCCAAGAATGTGCATAGCTGCCCTCTGGAAGCAGACAATGCATCCCTTCTCTTACCTTATGGTTCTCAAAAGTACCTGAAATCAAACACAGAGGACCACACAGACTCCTTGAAACAGCAAGATGAGAAACACAGGCAAACATGGTATTACTGTTTGACTACATATACTTTCAGGAATATAAAGTTATTCTTTCAAATGACAGATCCCCTCTCAGTCTTGCAAAATCTTAATCATCCTTATATCCCTCTTCCCGTCCCCTTTCACTCTAATACACTTCCTACCATTGTCTCCACCCCACTTTTTTCCTTCCTTTACCCCCTGCCGTACTGTCCGCATGGTTCCCCCTCCCCACACACATGCTCTTCCAGTTAATTTTCTGATCTTTACTGATCTAGTCTATTTTTGTTTCAATCACAAGTCATTGTTAAAACAAGGAACAGGGATGATGAGTGCTTATATACAAAACACTTTATAAATATAGTTTTATGAGATTTTACTTATCCTAATCACTCTGGCCCTCTGACCACATGTACAAGGAAAAATGTTTTGTAAACCGAATGATCTGCTCCATTGTAAACTGCAAGAGGTCTCGTGCCTATTGTAACACTATGATACATTTGTGAAGCATGCTGTATTACCTATGAAAAAGAAAAACACCAAAAAAAAAAAAAAAGCAAGTCAACCACAAACATCAGATGGTGGCTGTAAATTCTGACCTCTGATCAATTGTTCTGTAGAATGATCATGGCAAAAGCATGGATAATCATTTTGGCTAATCATTGTTTGTGCAGTAACAATATTCCTAACACCCTTATCTCAAGACAAATATAGTGATCATCTGGAAAATCTATTGCTGATAATCAGTTGACCACCACATCTGCCAAGGTCACAGACTGCCTGTAGTTATCTGATCCAATTGTTATTAGACAGAAAACAAAAAAGAGAATTTCATAGAAGCCTATACAATGACTGATTTTAAATAGTTGGGTGAGAATTGCATCAAACAAAAAAGATACATGTGAAGGGTAATCTTAGTGACATTATTAATCTCTATAAAGAGGCCCCATGCACATTCTGGAGTTGTGAGCGATGCAATAGACCAAAACAACCTGCGGTGAATATCAATAGAACCCACTGACAGAGCATAGTCAGATCAGAGATAGAATATTGTCTTGCATCTCTGGTTCTTAGAATCAGGAATTCCGTGTGATGTACAAAAGAGTTCTGCTAAGCAACCCAGGGGCCTCACAAATAACTATGTCAGTACTGGGACTTTAAAAATGCAATCCTCAAGCAAAGGTTTGAATCTAATGCATGACTATGGGGAAATAAAGGCACTTCCCCCATATTTGAGAAGGATGTGCTCTGTAATGGTCTATAAAATATGTCTACATTACATAAATGGGAAGTAAATCTTTCCTTGGCAATCTAAATTGCCCCTTAGGCTGCACTGAGTGCAGTTAATGTGGTCACCAGATATGTGTTCTATTGTGGACCTACAATATTTGCTAAATTTACCATTTACATCAGCAATGACTACAAGGACAATACTCCCAAAACCTGACTCCTCTAAGAAGCTGTATTCTCTGTAAATGGAGCATTTGGATTACAGAATAGAGAAGATTTACAATGTAGAGGACAAATAGGCATGGTCAAGGCAGTGTAAAGTACAAAGATTATGTACATCAAATTATTAAACATCCCATTTTTGTTTACTGTAGACAGGTAAGTGAAATTCTGATTGCTTGCTGTTTGTCACGGTCAATTATACATTGTTCTTTAACTTAATAAAGAAGTCAAATATATAGAAATGTCTTAGCACCTTTTATTATCTCTCATTTCTGTTCAGAAGCTGCCAACAAGCAAATCACGAAGATAATATAGACATTATTATTTTTATTTTTATTTTTTTTTACTGATAAGCTCACCAGCCAAAAGGCACATGTTCACCAAAGTCTACATTGCACATAGTGCTTTTTATACTGGCTGCTGCTGCCTCAACAAAGCCTGTGAGACCAAGAAGAGGGGAGAGAAAAGCTGCAGATGGGCACAGCGCTGCATTGAATGAGGGCTCAGGCAAGTAAAAGAGGCAGTGAGGGAGGATACGGATACCTAAATATTTTTCTACCTTAAATGAGAAGTAGGGTTTTTATTTTTGCTCAGTTATACTTACCTAGGTGGATGCAACATCGGTCCAATGCTGCATCTGTCCCCCGCTGGGTCTAAAGGTGAGAACTCAGCAATCAGATGACCGCTGATCACGGAGTTCTCTCACAGCCGCTCTGAGCAGAGAGCAGTGACTTTCAGTCACCATCATCTGCTATGCCCCCCAGGGCTCACTGGGTTGTGGAGAGAGAGGGAGCGGCTGTCTCACACTCTCAGTGGCTCACTGAAAGGGCTGTGAGCCAGGTGCTGTTTCAGACCCTGCTGTCAGCTGAAAATGAATCACAGGGATACAAAATTAACTGCACTCTTGTGATCCATAGGAGTACAGCCAAAACAGCTTTGGCTGTACTACCCCTTTAATGCAAGGAATGCACAAAAGGTAAAAAAATGTTTAAGCTTTATAACCACTTTAATGGCAAATCTTTAGGTGGACTTTATTAACCATTAGCCGCCCGGCCTATAGCCGTTTAGCGGCCGCAAAAATGCTGTAGCTTTCCGGGTGCACGCCATTTGGTGTCCTCCCGCACATGTGCAGTTCGCGCGGTTGCAGAGCCGCGATCTGTCACCGGCCGTGTACCTCGGACAAGGCCGATGACAGATCTGAGTACCGGCCCCCGTTGCCGGTACCATGTGACCTGCTGTGACCAATCACAGCAGGTCACATGACAGTTGTATATAATGGATGGCTTCATTCATGCCATCCATTGTATACTACTGCCTAGCTGTGAATGGTCACAGCAGGTCACATGCACATGTCATGTGATTAGCTGTGGCCAAATCACAGCTAAGCACAAAAAAAAAAAAAAAAAAAAACCTGAATGATTCGATTTCATTCTGGTAAATGCTTGCTTATAGCAAAGTAATGCTTTGCTATAAGCAAATTGTGTAAAAAAAAGAAATAAAATACTGATCACTTCCCCAAAGTAGTACAATGTTACTATGGTAACATTGTACTACTTTGGTCATAGTAAAATAGGAAAAAAAAATCTTAAAAAAATATAAAAATAAATGTAATAAAAAAATTAAAAAAAAAAAAAATAAATAAAAATTAAAAAAAAAATATATATATATATATAATTTTTTTTCATACTGTCACCAGTCAGTGTCCCTGTTCACCGCCATGACAGTTATATGATGACGCTGTACTGCACTGGTGACAGAATGTAAAAAAAAAAATAGTGAAAAATAAGTTTTTTCATTTTTTCATTTTCCAAAAAATGACAAAAAAAATACAACTTCAAAAAACTCGCCATTCCTCTTATGAAGTACGTTGGACTGTCTACTCTGCAAAAAGGGGTCATTTGGGGATATCTGTACTATTCTGACATTCTTGGACCTCAAGAAATTAGATTGGCTGTCATTACTTCAGGATTGATCAATATTCAGATCTATACCATAGTTTGTGAACTCTATAACTTTCCTACAAACTAAATAATACATCCTAATTTGGGTTATTTTCACCAAAGACATGTAGTAGAATACATCTTGGCCTAAATTTATGAAGAACAATTATTTATTTGTAAACTTTTATAACAGAAACAAAGAAAAAAACGTGTTTTTTTTCAAAATTTTTGGTCTTTTTTTTGTTAATTTAGCAAAAAATAAAAACCCCAGCGGTGATTAAATACCACCAAAAGAAAGCTATAGTTGTGTGCAGAAAATGATAAAATTTTAGTTTGGGTACAATGTTGTATGTCGGCGCAATTGTCATTCAAAGTGTGAGAGCGCTGAAACCTGAAAAATGGCCTGGACAGGAAGGGGTAAAATTGCCTGGTATTGAAATGGTTAATGGTGTTAAGTCCTGTTTCAACACCAATTAAGCCACTTTTTTAAAAAAAGAAATTTAAATTGAGGAGCACTGTGGTCAAAATGGCAGGAAGTCATGGGGGGAACTCTAGCTCCAGCTTCCCCGCTGCTCACCACCTACCCCTCCCTGACACCCCCACCACCCACTCTGTTCAGGAGTACTGTGAGCTCTAATGTTCTCTTCCTTCTCTTTCACAAAGTTGTGTCCACGATAGCTTGGGCCTACAGGAAGTGGGTTGGATGATGTAGGCCAACATTCAACACAGAAAACTAGCGGCACTAGACCTCAGAGTGGTATATCTGTAGGGAAAGTACTGGGATCAAGATATGTACTGAAGCAACTGCTACTATATTTTAGAAGCACTGAAAATTGTTAAAAAAGAAAAAAAATTCCCTTTTAAATGCTTCCACAGTATACCAAAACCTTCACCGGAACAAAAACTAACCAAATAAAATACATTATCTGGCTTCTTTACTTCTTTCACAGCATTACACAGCACAGTTGTGCAGTAAGGTAAGTAACCAAATAAACACATCCTCAATAATCTATCTTTCATGGGTTACAGTAGTTTGCTTCAGGTTAAAGAAAAATTGTAATTATATTTGGAAAAACAGTGTCACCTTCAAATCATGTAATAAAAAAAAGTTAGCAATGAAGAATATAAAACATCTGAATTAGCCATCTGAAGAGGGGCAACAGGTTAGCCTGCACAATAAGAAAAGTAAAGGTGAAGAGAAATGTTTTTGTTCAGTCATGTACATTGTGCCAACACTGCTGCATTTTAACAAGTGCAACCTTGAAGCTCCTTGTAATTGAATGATTCCCCTCTTCAATAAAAATACTTTAATCATATTCCATGCAGAGTACTTCATTGTAGAAGAACATCATCAGACAGAAAATATACGGATTCATGCAGAAGCTGCTGCTTACCAAGCTGGTTGAAAAGGTCACTGTGTATTATCTCAATAAGGCAATAGAGCTTCTGCCGCACAAGACGTTCTCTTGGAACATTCACAATGAAGTCTGTAAACAACTTGCTGCAAAAATAAACAAACAAATGGAGACAAATTAATTGAAAAACATAGCCTATGCTTGTTTTGAACTGTATTCCTGGACATTTACAGGGCTACTAAAACAAGCATTACATAATTGCTCTCAAGATGATTCTTAGGTGAGTATTTATTAGTTTTATAGACACAGAATAACATATTTAAAAATTGTAAGCATACTTCTGATCAAGTAAACGACATGTACGTTCACAATGACAAGTCACCATTCTGCTCAAAAGTTGATGAAACAGCATCATTATAATAATACGGAGTTTCTACCTGTAAAATGCTGGAATATATGCCCCTGCAACTCACTACAAATAATGATGGAAGGCTTGAAAACAGTTACAGCATTGTAATGCATAATACAGCTTTATTTTCTCAGGTTTTCAACCAACTTGCTGTCAATATGACACAACAGGAAGCAAATGGTATCAGCACTTTTTTTACTTAATATAAAACTTTTGTATTATTGTTACTTTAAGCAGATAAGTTAGCATTCAATAGAGCTGAGCTTTAGGCTAAAAACAAAGCAGCTCGCACAACATGTGATATATAAATGTGGCTAAAATTCTAAAAGAAAACATGCTGCGCTAATTCACTTAAAACATATAAAATAGATGCCCATTGAGAATAGTGTCTTCTACTCTAATCCCTTTCACAATAGGAAAAAAACATGCCACACACAGTGAGAAAATATTACAAGCCATGAAGGGAATGAAAAAAAACAAAATAAAAAACAAACATATATGCCCTTAGTTCACTGATAAGTGTCAACATATGTGGAATACTCAAACGTTCAAAAAAAGTCCCACAAAGTACCAGTGAAAGATCCATATTATCATCCGTGGGCTAAATCCTATAAGTGAATCCACACCATTACAGTGTTGCAAAGTGGGCACTTACCAGAGGAGAATGACCCTAATGCTGGATGTTCATTGCAATATACATGTAGCTCAATTCATCAGAGTCTCCCCCACCTTTCAAACATATCCACCTCATTAAGCCAGTATATGTGCAGGAAAGACAAAACTGGATACTCCCATACTGTAAACCAGATAGAAACCACTTTATGAAAAACAATTAAAGTTTCTCACATTTGTTATGCAAGAATAGTGCTTTTCAATCCCGATTAGCAGTATAAGTCGCGCGTGGTGACGTCAGATGCTTTGTCACCACGCATGATGCATACTGCCAATCGGAATCTGGATTGTTTGACCGAATAGTGCTATAGTGTAGTGGATTCACTAGGAGGATTTTGTCCATAGATGATATTATGGATCTTTCAATGGCACTTTTTGGGACTTTTTTGATCTTTTATGTATTGCACTACTGTTGATACTTCTCATCAGTGAACCAAGGGCATTTAGAAGTGTTTTTATATTTCATTTTCTTTTATGGTTTGTAATATTTTCTCACAGTGTGTGACACGTTTTCCCCTACAGAGAAGGGGACTGGAGTAGGAGACACAATTGCTAATAAGGATATATTGTATATCATTTGAGTGAATTAGAGCAACACATTTTCTTTTACAAGTCTAGAGTTAGACACAGATGACAACAAAATCTGATATGGGTTCTGATCCAGCCCTATAAGTGAATTGATCACGCTCTGTATCCCTCATTGGAGAGATTTAACCCACTTCCTGTCCCAGTGAAACAACAGGGATTATGGATAGTGAAACAGCGCTGGGTCAATCACCACTGTCACACAAGTAATCATAGTCCTGTATAATCTTCACACGCGGTTTCCCTACCGGCAGCTGATCAAAGTTCCGTGGAGTGAAAACAAGGCATATATATATATATATATATATATATATATATATATATATATATATATATATAGATCCATTGTAAAGTTCATACAGAGCAAATTATAGAATCACTTTAATCCTCTACTCTCAGTCTGATATCTGCTTGGGCAATTATGTAGAAATAGCCTTCAAGCAGTTATATTAGCAATTTTTAAAAACCGCCTTATCACCGCCCTAGCAGGTGATGTCATATGCAGGCTGACTCTCGAGGCTTTGGTGTCTCTTTCTTATGTGCTCCTATACTTCTTATGTTTGGTAGTATATGTCTGCCTATTTTAAATAAAAAATTGATACAACTCCATTGCGGTCCTTTGATCTTCTCCGGAGAGAATATCTGTTTATTGCACAAGAAGATGCCTTCTGGTATCTGTCACATTATGCTGAGGAGGCGGTGAAAGTATCCTACCAGTGAGATGAGTGTGAGCAAACAAGTGTGTATGGATCTCTGGAAAGTGAGATCAATATTTTTGGTAAGAGGCTGATCATGTATTTGGTGAAGGAATCATGTTTGCTCACCACCTTTCAAAATTTGATTGAATCTCGGAATATATGTTGGACTGAGCACTTTTTCATTTTATATGGCTGGTTTCACTTTTCATATGGCAGATTGCACTTATTTATTATAAAGTTGTGGTTTGTTAGCTTTTTTGCCTTGAGATGGTTCACAAGTGTATATTGTATTGCTATAAATGTAGAGATGAGCACCAAGTGTAGGTTTAGATTGTTATAAGGTTATTATTCCACTTTTTTGGGGGCATCACTCTTTTTGGCTTTTGTTTCACAAACCACAAGTAATTTTTTTATAGAGTGTCATTATTATTACCTTAGGCCTTGAAGTCAAACCTGTGCATTGCCCAAAACAACACGTTCACTTAACTGAGGGTTAAACACTCTTCTCTTTCCCTCAAGTGACAGAGAGCTTGGACATAGCAATTGGCCACACATATCCCCATCATTGTTTAGTTTATACATCACTGTTTAAACTGTCTATAAGTAAGAATTATACTCAGTTGCGGACTGGAGAAATAGGTAAAAGATGGTAAGGCCTCATTTACATGGGCGTTCTTAAGTGTACAGGCAGTCCTATTCATGTCAAGTGGGACACAACAGCTGCATGGACAATCTGACATCTGTTCGGGTGCCAGTGCGTGTCTTCGAACTGTCTTCATTCAGGGACACGCACCCACACAAATGTCAAAAATTGGGAGCAGCAGCTGTTTCTTAGCAGCCACTGTGTCCCAAATGACAAGAATAGGACTGCCTGCACACAAATGCACAGAACACCTGTGCATCCCAGGCAGGCAAACACAGCCATTGCATGGGAAACTGCTTAAAGCGGAGTTCCAGCTGAAAAAAAAAAAATAAAGGTCAGCAGCTACAAAAACTGGCACCAGCATCTTCAGTGTGGGCGCCCGGCTGTGATAGCTCGCAGCTGCACAGCCGGATGCCCGCTGCGCATGTGCGCGAGAAGCACTGCGCTTTGTGATTGGCCCCGTAGTCTTCTGGGACTGGTCACGTGTCGCAGAAGACTACGGGGAGAGAGGAAGGGAAGGACAACTTCTGCTTTCGACCACCTAGGCAATCACAAGGAAGTAGGAGCGGGTACCTGTGAAATTTGGGTACCTGCTCCCCCCCCCCCCCCCCGCTCCCCAAAGGTGCCAATCCTTAATGGGTAGCGAGGGAAAAAGGCTTAAAGTGGAACTTTCATTTTTGGGTTGAGCTCCGCTTTAAGTGCATCCATGTAAACAGGGCCTAAATATTATGGTAATAGACTATTTACCTTAACTCTTTTGGATCAAATACAAGCTTGACATCGTTTACAATAGTTGGCAGATATTTCAGTGCAGCACCCTAAAAGAAATTGGTGAGAAATTAGTTTCAATAATATTAATGAAAGACCAACATTGACCACAAATATCTAAGTTTAGCACATGGCCATAATGCATTGCAGGAAAACAACTCTTACTGGTTTTCATTGTATACAAATAAAAATTAAAATAAGATACTGATGGAGCTTTTATTGAACAAAGAGAAACTGAAAATCAAACAAATTCAGCACTGAATTGTAAAAAATATGTAGCGCTTTACGTAGAGCAAAAAAAGCAACAGTTGCAAAGCAGGCTATCACATGGTATACAAGTAAAAAAATAAACATAATATATGTAAAAATTCAGAAGAAAAAATTAATTATCTGAACCCAAAGCCAAAAATTTAATACATTGCAGTATTCTTCTTTAGGCTGGCTTTCCAGTGTTGCAGGCAGTAGAAGCAGAGCATTCTGTAGCTATAGTCTCTCAGTGAAGCAGCCCAAAGATTACATGCAGGTCAACTACCATGTCCGTTTGTACTGAGCCTTTCAGTTGACACTGTCATACTCAACCGTTGAGATGGGGTGGGTGTTTGAATGATATCAGAAATGCATAGCAAATGTCCTGTTTTGAAGTTCATAGAAACTTGGCCTGAGCGAATAAAACCCTATATGGCCCTTATTTTAGCACTTTATTTGTATGCCAATATAGAGCCTCTAGAACAGTGGTTCTCAACCTGTGGGTTGCGACCCCTTTGGGGGTCGAACGACCCTTTCACAGGGGTCGCCTAAGACCATCGGAAAACACATTTCTGATGTGTAAAGAGCAGCTACTGTGTTGAAAGCAGCACTGTGTTACTCTGTTAAAAGCAGCTACTGTGTTAAAAGCAGCTACTGTGTTAAAAGCAGCTACTGTGCAGCTACTGAAAGCAGCTACTGTACTGTGCTGAAAGCAGCAGTATTGGAGGTAAAACGACACTTCATGAATTATAATTACTGGGTAAATAATTTCATGGTTGGGGGTCACCACAACATGAGGAACTGTATAAAAGGGTCGCGGCATTAGGAAGCTTGAGAACCACTGCTCTAGAAGGAAAATATACAATCCTTCAGTCTATGAGAATGCACCACCAGCAGGTAAAATGCAAGTCACAAGAGTCAAACTGTTGTCAATCAATTTAAATGATCTTAGACGCGTCTCAAATTGACATCATACCATTGACACATAAAAATGGCACTTTTATATTTGCAGCAACTAAAAAGTTTACTGTAAATTCAAAAGTGACAAACATGTTGGCAACAGTCTGGTGTACAAGCAGTTTGTCAGGCCAACAAACAGATCTTTTTTTGTGGCCTGACAAAGGGTCTATTGCCCAAAACATTTCAGTTGCCAACATACACACAGAAGTCTACACACTCTTGTAAAAATGCCAGATTTTTGAACTGTAAAATAATCAGCCCAAGAAAAATCATGTCTGAATTTTTCTGCCCATGGTGAATCCTATGCAATTAAATAAAAAAAAAAAAAACAAATTGGGATCTTTAAAGGGGGGGGGGGATACAAATCAAAAACCTATAATAACATGGTTGCATAAATATACACACCCTTAAACTAATACTTTGTTGGAGCACCTTTTGAAAACATTCAGTCTTTTGGGATATGAGGTTAACAGCATGGCACATCTTGCCTTGGAAACCTCTGTCCACTCTTCTGTGCAAAAGCACTCCAAATCAAACTGGATTCAAGTCTAGGCTTTGGCTGGGCCATTCCAAAACTTTGATCTTATTCTGGTACTTAGAAAGCATCAGAGCTATCACATTGTTGGACGGTATCAGTCAGAATAAGTGTACAAAAAATTTCCAAGGCATTAGATAGATCAATAAAAAATATCTATAGCATTTTCTCATTCCAAAAAAATCTGACGGTCACCGTTTTTATTAAAACTTTCTGTCATGCTTGCACTTACTATTCATAAAGAATATAGCAACTATCTGGTGAATAAATTAACTACAAACAAAATTACTAGGATATTAATAAATAAAAAAAAAAATCGATGAGAAGTCACACTCGTAATAGCCCAGCAAGCTCAGAAATAGAATCACAAGACCCTTTAAATGCAGATAAAGTTGCTGCAGATATACTAATCTATAGCAGCTTTATCTGTATCTCAAAGGTCCTGTGATTCTATTGCTGAGGTTGCTGGACTATTACGAGTGTGACTTCTCATCGATTTGACTTTATTAATATTTTCATTCCTGATGATTTTGTTTGTGATTTTGTTTGGAGCAAATTTGTTCACCAGGTAGTTGCTGTATTCTTTAATAAGTTTAAGGGTGGCCAAAAGTCTTTTAGTTGTGTGTTATTTGACCTATGTGAGGTCAAACTATTTAAGAATGTAGCTGCAAATTGTGTCTAACATTTTGTGCTGGGTGACTTTTAGAGGTTGTCCCATATATTCAGCTAGGAGAAGGGTTAATATTTGTTTTCAGCTTGTCCTTTATTAAATAAGAGTCAAAATAGTTTAAAAAAAATGATATTGTATAAATAAAGCGTCAAACAAATAAATAGCCAAAAAACCCATCTGGTGGCCCAGGCAAAGTGTGAAGCAACTCAATATGTTCCCTGTGCCATGAGCACTTCATGCAGCTAGACACCTGCATAGACTTTCACCAGAATGTTCACAACATTCTAGAAAGATCTAAATTGTTCCATCCCTGACAGGTTAATGAACCAATAAACCTATGACATAAAAATACTTAAAAGTAAAAAAAAAAAGATAATAATAGCATATACAAATGTAATTAAAAGCATCCATATCTGCACAATACATGACATATCTGCATGTCTATTGCTATATCATAGCTGCTTTTTGTAGGCTAAAGATGGCCAGTGTAAATATATTGCTTCCTGAGGTTAGATTACTGAACTGTAAAGCAGGCCTAGACAATGCACAATCAAATTCATGACGCCAATGCTGAACAATCAGCCATTTTGCCATCTTGTATTTAAATTAAAACTAGAATTATAAAAAACACGTATTAAAAGAAATTGGGAATGCAGTTATCACAGGGACAAGATGGTAAAAACAGGAATAAATATGTTTGTCAGACTTTCGAGCCATTTTCTACCCCCCAACTTGAAAAACTGCAGCTTAAAGCACACATAGATGTAGTCTTTTAAATGCTTACTTGCAGTGTTTTTCCTTTTCTTAAAAGAGGTTTTGTTCAATTGCAATGTGTTTTTAAACTTGCTAAAAAAATTGACTACTGCAAAAAGAATATTAATTCGCTAACACAGCCCTTTTCACAATATTCTCATTTTCTGAGATTGTGGATTTGGGGTTTTCATGAGCTGTAAGCCATAATCATCACAATTATGACAAATCACGGCTTGAACTATCTTGCTTTGCATGTAATGAGTCTATCTCATATATTAGTTTCACCTTTTAAGTTGCATTACTGAAAAAAAATGAACTTTTTCACGATATTCTAATTTTTCGAGTTTCACCTGTATATGCGTCTGTGGAAAAAAATGACCTGGTTTGATCACCAAGGGTGTCCTGTTTCTCCAGGACAGCGCACAAGCTCGTACTGCTCACTGCACTACGTACACATTACAGCAACGTGGCTGGGAGGTATTGCCACATCCCCCTACAACCAGGACCTCGCTCCAAGTGACTTTGACCTGTTTGGACCCCTAAAAGAGTTCCTCAGAGGTCAGCATTTCAGCACTAATAACGACGTGAAGCAGGCTCTCCTAGGATGGTTCAGGCAAACTGACAAATCTTTCTATGCTAAAGCTTTCTAGGCATTAGTTAAACGCTGAGATAAGTGTATAAATGTAGCAGGAGAGTATGTCGACAAATAAAAGCAGTTTCCACTCGCTGAAATTTGTTCTTTTATTATAAAAAGTTCCCATATTTATTACAGGTACTTATAGATCGTCGTCAATTTACACTGCGCTTTATATATACATTGCACATTCACTTCAGTCCCTGCCCCAAGGGGCTTACAATCTAAGGCCCTGAACTCACATTCATACATACACATACTAGGGCAAATTTAGACAGGAGCCAATTAACCTACCAGCATGTCTTTGGAGTGTGGGAGGAATTTGGAGTACCCAGAGGAAACCCACGCAGGCACAGGGAGAACATGCAAACTCCATGCAGGCAGTGCCGTAGTTTGGATTCAAACGGGTGACCCTGGTGCTGCTATGTAGAACCACTTAGCCACTGTGCTGTCCACATCAGTGTTATGCTCTCAATACTGATAATTTTCAGCTCAGCCCTGTTCTTCCCCTTCCTCCCTCTTCCCCTTCTTTATTTCCCTCCTACTACCAACAGTTTCCCTCGGGGACTAAGCCACATCACTTTCTCTTTCCCTCACTCCAATCTCTATTTCCCTTTGTCCCAAGGTACCCCATCATACAACCTATGTTTATCCGCTCTGTGTCCTAAAGTTGGAAAGTGTTGGGTTGCTTCATACTATTACAAACTTAACAACAGCGTATTTCCCCAATACTTTACTTATCCAGTTACTTGTCATATGTACAATGCCTGTCACCTACTTATCCTGTTAGGATTGCTTGAAATTTGGTTAACTTTGTCCATGGTGGCTATTGAGCCTCATAGAATCTCCAGGCAGCAGTTTCTTTTCACTTTAGGTACACTATAAGTACACATCAGAGGTCTAGGACAAAAGGAGCCCTGGAGTAGTATCTAGGTATGCTTGGTATCAGTTGGGTCATTACTATAATACATTCCAATGTAAGCGCATAAGTAACCACACTTTAGATGTGCCTTGGTAGTATTGTGCAGCTTCCACATTTTCCAAAGTGTGCTAGATAAGCACCTATCAAGGGTAGACAACATTTTGGCTTATCAACGGCTTTGAGATGACCTTGCCAATTTTTACAGGCTCCAAATTAGTCAATGGGCAGAGCTATATATAACAAGTTTTCTATCAGAGTGATAAGAAATTTGGAGAATTCCATTAGTGCACTGCTGTGTGAAACGGAAACTAAAAGAAACACACAGAAACG